GTGTGTGCGGAGGAGCGGTGGCGGTGACTGAGTGGAAGAGGAAGCGTGTGTGTGGATCCCCCCCCCTTCTCTCCCTGGAGCCCTGGACCCCCTCCCAACTCACTGTACATATATTTTGCACTAAGGTGATCCCTATTGTAAATAAATCCCCTTTTTGTTTCCTTGAAAGAACTGTCTGCGCGTGGGTCCGTTCAGTAGCCATGACAAGTTTAGTGTCATCACCTGTGTTTTGTTTAGGTTTAGTTTATAACCAGACAGTTCCCCAAAAACGGATAGAGAGGACATCAACTCCTCAAATGATTCTTCAGGTTCCTGGAAGGATACAAACTCAATCACTTGTATGTGACTGCCATTTGCTTCACCCACACATTGTAAAGACAGTCTATAAATTCACATAAAGAGTACAACCTCACTGTCAGTTAATTTGGAAAAAGCAGACAGTAGAGCCACAGATGAAAGGACCCTGCACACATGTTAACAGCTGTGCTTCCAAACACAAACATGAGCAAGCAGTGAGCGTACAGATGAGACTCTGCTGACACATAACTGCCTGCTACAAAGCAATACTCACACAATATACAGTAAGAGGCACTAAAATACAGCAATGTTTATATATATTAACTTGTTTGTACCAGTTGTGACATTAGGGTTAGGGTTGTGGGCGAAGGGGGGGCAACTAATACATGTTTGTTACTCTTGTTTTGCTATATTTCTTTGTATGTGTGAAAACCTTTACAACAGTACGTGTTGCATATGGATGCCTCTTAGTATCTCACAGATATAACAAATTGAACTTATAAAATATAAACATATATGAACTATATATATCAAAATGACCTGGTTAAGGTTACAGAACGCCTGCTCAGGTTAAAATATCTTGATTATCTTCATGTTAAACACTGTGGTGGGAGACAAAAGACACACATCAAATTCGCAAACCTTTAAGTTTCAGTGGTGACACTTCACCACATTGTCTTCTTTGCACAGAAACCTTAAAGGTTTCTAAAAGACTTTAGTGAATGAAGCATTAAAACATTTTCCAGCAAATATTTCTGAATATAAAATAAAAGGTTAATTTAATGCCAGCACAGGCGAGGCAGCAGAGGGCAGCCACTCCACAGGAAGGTTTTTGGGCACATTTCTCATGTGGGGTTGAACCAAATTAAAAGAAATCAAAGCAAGACAGCAGGGTTCCCGTTGACATCCCCGCCAAGACGACAGGAAGCTGCGAGGGGAAAACAACCTGCAGCCTGCTGCTCTCAGGCTCTGGGGACCGGGAGTGACCAGCTGCCACCAGCCTGGGCTGAGGGCCTTAAATTTTTGCTCACGCTGTGAACGTATGTCAGGGTGGAGGAAGATAAAGCAGTCACAGGAGGAAAAGACAGGAAGACACTTCTGCTGTCAGCTGATGTCTGTTTTACACTCGGCAGTGTTATACCTTATAACGATGGCCTAATTAAAAAATAAAAGGTCTTATAATGTAGAAATAAAAATGAACTATTTAGGAATAGTGGACATGTAATAAAAGCAGTGAATCAGTCTTTGACTTGAAGGCAAAAGCGAATTGATTTTCTTGGCTTGAGTGTGTCTGTGTACTTATACAGGGTACAGGTGCAGCTCCTCTTATCTGGTACACCTACCTGGTGTATACCTACAGGCTGCAGGAAGGATATGATGAGTCAACATCCAGTGTCTAAAGTCAAATAAAAATAATGAAGCTTAATAAACTAACGCACACCTCCGAGGCTTTCATCATTTTCATATTTGAACTATAATCACAAGTTCAGCTATCAGAGCTCAAAACAAAAGACTTATAGACAGAGAGCAGCTTTAATATCAAAACACTTTATTTTACATACAAACAGTATCTTACAGCACATTTTTATTCATGTACACAAATGAGGAATGGAGTTAAGAGTTTGTAAAGGAAGCGCTATGAAAGCAGCACCATCTGCTGGTGGGAGAAGGCTACTGCGGCTTTAGGATCGCGCCCGGTGCTGGAGAAGACTCTCTACTTCCATCCTTGGCAGGTTTCGCTCACAGAGTTCAAGCTAAACAAGTCTGAACGCAGAAATGACCTCAGGAGTCGTTGGGGAGGCCAAACAGTTTGACGGTGCCTGCCTCCCGGTTGTTGTCGTACTTGCCCTCCTTGTCATCGCAGGCGTAGGCCAGCAGGGGCCTCTTTGGGTGCCAGGCAACTGTGAAGGTTGGAGAGTCACACTGAACTTCCCAAAGCTTCTCTCCTACAACACGAGGAGAAGACGGAGAATGTGTTTAATGCTTAGTAAAAAAATATATATATTTCAAATTTACAGCTCCAAACTGTCTCACTGACCCGTTTCCACCTCAGCGATGTCTATGAAGTGATCCTCGGAGGCCGAGGCTAGCATCTTGCCATCGTGGCTGAAGCTCAGAGTCCTCACTGGCCAGTCCAGTCTGCACCGTCAGAGCGATAAAAGAAAGAAACTCTCTGAGATCCAGAATAACCTTAGAGTCATAACGGCACATTTCTATTCCACGATAAAGATGTGATCCATGATGTGTTTTTATTTTTTATTTTTAAAAGACCATTACTGTAATTATCTCATGAAACCTAAAACTCTGAAAATAAACAGTCTCTGACCTGGAGAAGCAGCGGACACACACCAGCTCCTCCACGTCCCACAGGCTGACCAACGCATCAGCACTTCCTGTGGCAAAGTACTTCCCTGTGGGGTCAAACTTGATGCAGATGCAGTTGGACGGGTGGGCATTGATAGACTGGATGGGCTTCAACTCTGGATAACTGCGAAAAAACCCAGGTGTTTCAGAGGAGTCCACGTGGCTCGTGCACAGGTCAGGAAAAATGTGAGTCAGTGTAAAATACCTTCAGACCTTTAGTTATTGTTGACCTGCAGTGTTTGCATGTTCATTTCAAAGACAGAATTAGGAGCAGATAGAAAAGTTCCTCTGTTTTCTAATAATGCAAAAACACATTTTAAAGCCAAATCACAATGAAGTGGCGACCATTCCAGCCAGCTCTGGGATCAGCTTGTTGACATTTTCTCACCTTGATTTGAAAAAAGAGAAATCAAACTCCCCAACCTTTAGTTGTACACTTTCACTCAGCAGCTAGCCTGTGTTGGTGTGTGAGAAGCGACAGAGAACATGATGCTCAGCTTTTCATGAACATGCATGTCAGGAATGAACGTGAGCAGAAATCTGCTCCGTACCTCAGAATATTGATGCAGCCGTTTCCGTTGGTGAGGAAGAACATGTCGTTGTCGTTGTTCCACGAGATCTCATTCACCTCAAACTTGAACTGCTCTTCTGCCTTGGAGCGGTGCGTCTTGGCATCGATGAAAGTCACCACGTCATCTTTGTTCCCCACGGCAATGGTTTGACCATCCGGGCTCCAGCAGATGTTGATGTTTTCACCTTTAGACAAAGATTCAGTTTTGATGACACAGTGATGAGCGAGGTTTAAAGAAGGGTCATGACTCCTGTACGGGTGGGCATTTTGAATGACCGATACAAAAGTGCCCGCTATCATCCCAGCAGACTTTCCTCAGACGGTGAGACTATTGTATCTTTGAATAACCAGAAGGTTTTTTGTATTCATTTAAATTTTTGGGGGCTGACCAGCTGCACAGAGACGTTGTTTGTTCAAAGAACTGGTTACAACTCGCTGTCTAATGTAACCATGAATGAAGGAATAATTGTATTTTACTATGCTTTACTTATGACTTCATAATCTGGGAAGCTCGACTCACTAAACATCTTTGCCGCTTTACTGAAGTCTATAACTCACAATGGTTTATGTCAGTGTCTTTTCAAGAGTCTCTTCACCATCTAGTCATAGTAAGCAGCGCTGCAGCTAAGAGCGCAGGTAGCTCATTCAGCATTAATGCAAGCTGTGTGTTTAGAGGATAACATCAGACAAACAAGCCTTACAGAAGTCTGTATGACAATTATTTTTAATGAGATTTGAAGGATGTTCAAATTACAGAAGCTTCCCGGGAGAAACCACCTGGGAAAAATGAATCAGCAGGTACGGACTCATGAATTCACCATGAACAGGTGACTCTGTAACATTCTGATTAACAAATTTGGATGATGTCATTATACTCGGACTGTTTGCCATTTTCATGATTTTGTTTCATGCTGAACGAACATCCGGTTTAAAGAAGTGGAATCTTTCAAAGCCTTTGAGCATAAGCACTCAAAAATACTTAGGATTACTTTTAATCTTAATCTAAAATCTTCAACTGTCAATAGTAAATGCCCAATTACAATCAAATCAGAGTCTACAATGTTAACAAACTGACATAAATATACAGATGGGGTCATAAAGGATCCCAGTCAGTTACCTGAATCAGTCAGCTTCTATCAGCTACAATAACTCCCAAAGAGAAAATGCAGGCAAACAGCAGCAACCTGAGGTCAGTACTAGCTGCTGACTCTGTTCGCCACAAAAACCAAGAGCCTACCCTTCGTGTTGACGGTGGCGATGCATTTGGTGGTGCGTACATCCCAGATGCGGATGGTTTTGTCTCCGGACGCCGTGACAAACAGATCCGGGTTGGTGGGATGCCAGCAGAGCTGATCCACGCTGTCACTGTGCCCTCTGTAGTTGTTCTCTTTCACCTGCAGACAAACATCACATGTATCAGGCATCCATCGTGTGCCACTTTACAGAGCACATCCACAAGCAGCCCAGCAAGACGATCACCTGTAAAGTTTTCTCTTAGAAATATGACTCAGATTATCTTGCATACCACACTTTGTGGAAAGGAAAAAAAATTAGCATCCCTCAAGTTATAATTTAAACTTGAGGGCTGTGACTTTAACTTTCTGATTTGATCATGTCTCTTTACATAAATATGAAAGTTTATCAATTTGGGCATTTCAGTGATAAAAATACTAATCAGTAAACATATACGTAATTAAAATGAATAAAAAATTAAGTAGAAAGCTGGGCTGCAGACGGAGCTTATAGGTTTCTGCTTAATGACGTAAATTCCTAAATAACTACAAGGCTGTTCAGTTAGTGGCAGTTATTGAGTGATGGGGATTATCCAGGGGGCCGTGTTTTTTGTGACAGTCGGCTCTCTAACGTCCAACATTCATTCATTCACGGTAGCGAGCTAACCAGGCTAACGCTAGCATACTAGCAACATGCCGCTATGTGACTCACCAAACGGTCCTTTTCCAGCACGAAGACGCTCGCTGTTTTATCAAAGGACCCGGAGGCCAGCCTCCTGCCATCACAGCTCCACGCCACCGAGTGAACTTTAGCCGTATGAGCGGCGAATTCGCGGCTTTTGTTGTTATTTTTAAAGCTCTCCTGCATCTCTTGGAAATACTGCGACGCCATCTTGGATTCCTACGTAACAACAGTGGCCGCCGACTGTAGGCAATAGGTGGGTTTAAGGGAGCCTGCGCGCCATCTGGTGGTTCGGAGGGGACCGACACTTGTTTACTTTGCTCAGACGGTTAACTTTATAAAAGGCCCTGTAACCGTCCTGTAACATAAATACATTCAGAAAACAACAGTAGAAAAGAAGTATGTGTAAATCCATCTTATCTGTATTTTTTAATGCAAGGAATAAAATATTTAAATCGTTCTAAATACCAAATGAAAAGGCCTTATTATTGCAGGATATTGCTCATAAGAATGATTAATCAGTCAAATTAGAAACAGAAAAGTTAAAGTTATCCATTTAAACGAATATATAAGTAATCTCAAACTGTGACATCATTTATTTGAATTGATATGCATTTTCTAACAACTAAAACCAACACAAGAAAAACATAAAGCCAGACTTCACCTTGAAGAAACTTCAGCTGCATAAACCTTATGAATGAATTTAAACAGGTTTCGTTGAGCTTTGGGGAAATGGGCTATTTAAGAAATTTAGAATGAGCATCATCCATCATTTACAAACTGTCAGATCCTCGTTTCTGTATGACAGTAAAATATGAAACAGTTCAGAGCTCAGTCAGTGATCTTCAGTTTAAATCCCAGAAAACAAAAATTACTTCAGCTTCATTGTATTGTTTCTATCATTATTAATAATGTGGAATGTATAACATGACACAACCCATGCACAACACACTGCATGTTTAATCAGTCAAATTAGAAACAGTCTGGTTTGCAGCCTATGTGCATTTAATGTGCTACAGCTGATAGAGTTTTATCATACAGTTTAAAGTGGGTTAATCTATACATCAAAGTTTTTTTTGTGACTATTTGTGGAAGAACTGGAAAGAAGTGGCACGATCTGCTTTTAGGTAAATCATTATGAAATATTTTGCTTTTATTTTCTTCAATTTTTTCCTTCCTTTTGTAAATTCATGCAGAAAAAAATGCTTTACTATCTCTCATTTTCTAAAGAAAATACAGCAGTTCTTTGCACATAGGCCTACATGAACATCAACAGCGTGATAGGTTTGAGTACAAGAATAAATCCACTGATTGTGCACGGGGAGATTTTTATGCCCTTTGAACTTTACATCATCTTTTCTGACATATATCAGATTTTGGTCTATGACTTTAAGATTCAGTGGCAGTAACGCTGTCACTCAAAGTAATGCTATATGTTCATATTACCACACATGTGATCTTTGACTCGGCACACATTCATTATATCTTTCAATGATGTAACCAATGCAAGTTTCCAAATTCATTGTTGAAATAAAGACAGAAATCTCTCGTTTTATTTGAATTCCAATTTATTTAAAGTGATGTTTAAAAAAAACCAACACTCCATTTATATCTCAAACACACACAATGTCTAGTCACCCCATCTCTGTCAAATATGGTATATCCCTCGGTTAAGAAGCCACTTGGTTACCAACTAAGCAATCGATGCTAGGACCCAAAACCTGCACCATCTGCAGGGGGACTCCCCTGCCATCCGGAGGCCTGTGCAAGGCCTCAATATGCATAATATTCAGGCCTGAGGCAGCTTCTGATGTCGAGTGTGTGGTCCTTTTGCACTAGAGTAAAACACACCAAATGGACGGAACAAAATGCACTTTTTAAATGTGATTCTGTGTTTTAAGAAAAGATGACAAGCAGTGAAAGCGTCACATAAATGTGCCTTGCGTCTTTGCATACTCGTAAAAAAATGTTTTAATGTTGCGGGCACGTGCCAGGAAAGCGATGTAAAGACAGCAAGCCCTACAAAATAAAAGTCAACTGTTGTGGTGAGGAACGAGGGCGGTGTTTCAGGACACGTGCACACAGGTCTCTGGACTCAGTGCTGATTCAGTGGAGGAAGACATCTCGTCTCTGGTGGACTATGACACGATCTCATGAGTTTTCACGCCACAGACTATAACTCAGGATGTTGAGGTTTAGATGCAGGTGTATGGAGAGGTAGAAAAAGTACACAAGCACCCTAATTCCTCCAAAGCACTTCTATTCTTAGCTCATTTTTCCTCATCGTTTTCTCACTGAGGCCCCTAAAGTAGGTTTGATGAAGGTCTGACCCATGGACCCTGAGAACATTTCTGTGACATGTATCGTTAAAAAGCTTGTGTCGTGTTCCTCTAAACCTGAAATATCAGTCACATGTCACTTCTGTGTTTCCCCCCTTCTCACCTTGCATGACTTATGACGACACACCTGGACTGAAAGGTGTGAGAAGGCAGGAAGCGTTTGTTTTTTTTAAACCCTGTCTATAAAAATGACTCCCAGGTGTTTTCATCAGCCCGAGCTCATACTCAGGTAAACGCCTGGACAGGTGGAGCTGCAGGCAGCTGCAGGAAGCTGAAAGCAGCACAACAAAACTAAACTGTTCATTTACTTCATCTGGAACTTTCTGAAACATCCAATGCTTTCATCATTGACTACAACATGTCTGAAAAGAAGCTTCGATTTTAACATCCCCACATTACCAAAAAACACGCTTTTAAAACTGCAATCATCTGTCTGTTGGTACATTTGGTATTGCTTGGTTTGCCGGAGAACACAGCAGAATCTGTGGTGCACATCTCAAAAGCAACCCATGACAAAGTGTTTCGTTTGTTTGAAAGCAGCAGAAGAAGAGCGTTTCTCCACTATTTGCAACTGCAGGTCATAAACAGAGAAAAACCAGTTATGCTCGCGCCGCTGAGGATGCCAGCTGCAGCACAGGTCTAACTTAACCAGGAGAAAAATTACAGGACGTGGAGGCAAGGCAGGAGAAGCCAGAGAATTGGGCTCTATAACAGTACAGCGCATTCCTGCTGATGACACAAAGTGACGCTGAGCAGAATCTTTGTGCATCAAATAGAACTAAATCAACCTAAAGCTTTGCAGTCTTTATACAAGTCAAAGTGTCTGAAGAAAACTGAGTATCTGTGCAAAAATAGTGCAGCTTCCCTTGTACAGTGCAGCCCGTCCTTCCTCCTGGATCCACAGGTTTATTTTCAAAAATCATCAGAGAAGCGAGCGGCCGATAAAAGCCGTTGTAGAAAAGCCAACAGTGCACTAACGCTGTTCTTTTGGCTCCTTTGAGACTTTTTGGTGTTTTTAGAAGTAGCTACAAAAATCCGAGTGTCAGTTTTATTGAATGTGAGCACGTTAGCCTCATGTGGAGCAGCAGATACAGTCGGTCTTTGTGCAGCTGGAGTTTCTACAATGGCTGATCACCTCCCCTTATCTGAGCCCTGCTTTTTTCATAAAGTCACCAGTGCATTAGCTCTTACTGCTCTGTTACCTGCGCATCTTCATCCGAGCGAGTTGTTAGTCGGTTAGTGTAAATCCAAAAAAAACATAAATACAAAAGTACAACAAAATCAACGTTTCCATTTTTGATCTGACACAGTAAACAAAAGGCAAACACTCTGCAAATCATCTGATCTCATCACTCTTTTGTCAATAAACGCACAAACCGAAGATACTCAGAGTCCATCCTAGCACTCTGCGTCTGCGCTGCCGTTGATTGAGCTGTCGCAGAGGGCGGCGTCTGCATCATCACCGGGCACTGCATGGTCGACTCCGTTTGACTTGATTTGATCCTCCTTGACACTGTGGAGCAGAGACAGCAAGCAACATGTAAGAGACCGAGAACAGCCGAGACGCAGCGATCACTGTAATCTGTGGAGACCAGGTCAGCATCAACCTTGTGCTGGAACCTGGACTCTAAAGCTGCAGCTAACTACATAGCCTCCTTCTTGACTGCATGACTTCAAATATTCTTTTCTGTGTTTGTTTTACACATGCAAAGGTTTTTAGATTAGATACATGAACTTCCAGGGATACTGATGGCGTCTCCACCTGGGTCAGAAAGTATTAGGACGGGATGGAGGGCATGCTTGTGATGAGTGTCGCTCCACCTGTTTATGCAGCCGTTGCTGACTGGAGACTCGGCTGTTTCTTTCTCAGATAGAGAGCTGCAGGACCTCCTCTCCTTGCCCGTGTCCGAGCTCTTCCTCCGGGCTACGACTGGCCCCGAGCCCGACCCCCGTCTCTCTGGGCTAAGCCTGGGCCCTGCTGGGTCAGACGGGGCACTCAGCCCGCCGGGCCCTTCTGGATCTTTGCCGAAGTCGCTGCTGGTTCGCCTTCCATTCAGGCTGTCAGAAGATGAGACGTGGCTCATACGGCCCTCATCTGGTTATCAAAGAGACAGACAAAAACCAAAAAGCAGGTTTTTACATGAGTCTGTCTTAAAAAAATGGTACAGAACTTAGAATGTCAGATGTCTGATAATAGAGGGTAGATGTTAGTTTCATCTGTGGCTTTATATTCTCTGACTGCATGTATTGAATTTCTATTCATCTTTATTTTATTTTTATTTGCTTTTTAACACTGTTTTTATCTTCCTTGAACTTTTTCTCCTACTCAAACTACATCCTACTGCTTACTGCTCGCTCTTCTTTGTGTCATTGTTTTTTTTTTTTAGAAATTAGAAGTTTTGTAGATGAATATTTATCCAGCTCAAATACTCTGCACACTTAAAATCAGAAGGTTGTGGCTCTTTTTGCCAAACGGGTCAATCAATGCGAGGAAAGCAGAGCAGAAGTGTTTGTCCTGTGTGCGCAGTGCGCCCTCTGCTGGACACAAACTGACACAGCAGTTTGGAACGACTTTTGTTCATTAAGCTTTTATTAAGATCTTATATTCATATTATCCTGATTATACTTAAATACTTTTACTTCAGTAAAAAACAACAATAGTAGAACTTTTAGTGACAGTATCCTGACCAACACTATGGCGGCTCTTTGAGGTCCTTGTTGGCACTTTTGATAATGATTTTCAATATTTCTAAAGACTAAATGTTTTATTGTATATAATTAATGAAAATAGCTGCTGACGCAATGCTGATGAGCTGCTTGGTGACAGGTTGCTACCTCCTGAACCGGCCTCGCCCGCCTTGTTGCGTCGGCGTCTCAGGATGACCTCCAGCTCGCTGTCCTTCTTTCCGGGAGGTGACGGTCCCGACTCCTGCGAGCCTCGGCTGGGGCTCCTCTTCACCGTCTCCTGGAGGAGTACACACATTACTGCAGGAAGTATAGTTTTTTAATCTGAAAACAAATTGTTTCCAACCAGCGATGCTACAACTGATCCTACTGCACAATCCTAACTGTCAGGTCCAGAAAACATAAATACTACATTTAGACATTGTTACAGTGTCAGTCAGCTGAACCTGAGACCTCTGTGCTAGTCACAGGTTGCCTTTAACAAAAACTTTGTTTGAGCACCAGAGTGTTCATAAGTGCACCCGGCACGATCAGGTGGTGGGGGAAGATGCTCCAGTCTCGACGCACCCTAACGTGTCGTGAGGGTGTGCTGGAAACACGAGGCTGAGACATTGAGTCAGAGTGGATCACACAACTGCTCAGAGCTACAACCTCCTTGGTGGGCTGTTTAGTGTCCCTCCCACTCGAGTGGGAGGGCTGAATGTATTGAATGACACGAGGTCTGTCTCTGGGGGAGTTTTGAATTATCCTTCATGCAGTTTCTCGTATTTTCACAGTTAACCTGATGTTTTGCGTTGTTTCCGTGTCTGGCCTCCTCTGCTCTTTGTCTGCTCTGAGCAACTTGGTTCAGCGAAACGGAAAACCACATCCAGATCAATCCTCAAACACCCTGCAGCAGGTCTGATGGAAACAAGCACCATCTTAAGCCTGGCGTATTCGTGGGGTCAGAGCTTACGATGCGCACCGCCCACCAGGGGCAATGCACTTATTTCTCCTCTTGACATCTCCAGTGTACACAGGAAGATCCATGCAGTTTGTCTGAATATTCTCTTTTCACATTTAACAACATTTAACACGCTGCAGTAAAGCCAACATAAGCCCGTTTTACCAGGATGCCTTTCAGTTCCTCCATGGCGCTCTCCTGCTGTTTCTCCTCACAGGTTGGAGGCTGCTGGAGCAAAAACAGAAACATCACACTTGACCTTCATGTTCCACCGACAGATCTGTGCAGCCTCACTAGCAGAGAATCATGGAAAAGGAGAAGAAGCTTCTAGTAACTGAGCAGGCACATGGTGTCGGGGCCATGAAGTGCTTAACAATGGACGTTAAAGTGACATGTTTTAGTGACTGGAATAGGACCTGCTGTGTGTGTGTGTGCGTGTGTGTGTGTGTGCGTGTGTGTGTGTGTGTGTGTGTGTGTGTGTGTGTGTGCGTGCGTGTTAGTCTCTCTGGAAAGCCCAGAGAGCAACTGTGACTTGACTCACTTTTACTGCTATCCTCTGCAGCAGCACAAAGAAGAAGAAACATGGAGAGGAAAGAGAGGACAGTAATCAGGCAGAGTGCTTTCAGACTGCACGAGAAAAAACAGCCCTGAAAGTATTAACAGACACCCGGATTCATTTTCACATGAACAACGAGCTGAGATAAAACAGGAAGGATGAATCAGGAAGTACAGATTGATTTTTTACAGCTCATATTTGTGACATTTAATCTCTTACTCTTGTTGAAGGTAAAACAAATCAATGGACAATGAATCAAATCAATGACAACAAAAGAACTCGTTTGACAATTAGTTTAAAATGGTGATGAGCAAATGCGTCTTCTTATAGAGTGTATGCTTCACTCACATTCTGGAGCATTAAAATACACTATAGTAAATACTGTGATCTTTTTTCTTTACATATTAAAGTGAGCAGGAAATGATAAAAAAAATGAACGATCAGATTATATGTGGTTCCTGTCAGAGACTTCACCTCACAGCCTTTACCAGCTGATAGATCAAGCTCAGGTGTTTCTACATCCATTTATATATTTGGGAATCAATGGAGGGGTGTCAGTGTTTCTAAAAATACCCACAGAGACAAAAGCCCCAACAACAATGACCCAAGCTTCGTCGTTGGCTTCATATAAGACTAAAGAAGAGACACACAAAGGACACAAAACAACAACAAAGAGAAGAAAACAAGTGACAGAAACGGAGGCAGGTCGACCGCAAAGACACACAAACGCCTGTTATTCCTGACAGGTGACGCATGTCTGTGCCTCGTCATGCTGGAAATGCAGCTCAGCACATTTACTGGTTTAAACTGGAGTTCACATCTGCACTCGTAACTCCAGTCGTGTCCTTGTTTTTCAAATTTAGCTGTGAAAAAAAAGGGTTAGGGTTACGCCTCTCAGCGTGCAGTGCTCCGTCTCACCTTGGTGTCCTGACTCTTGACGGGCCGCAGGACGACGCCATGTTTGATCCGCTCCATCATCTCGTTCACTGCCTTCACTTTCACGTCATCCACACCTTCAGCAGCAGCTGGACAGCCAGAGGGAGACAAACCCAAATTACACCTACTGGATTAACATAGCGTTATCATTTATTTCTGAGGCTGGCTTTGGCTGAGAACACGCTGCTGACCATAACAATCATGATAAATAATAACAATAACATTCTGTCTATCAATACATGAATATAACACAGTGTGGTGAAACCCACCAGGAGGCTGCTCAGCCTTCACGGAGGCTTTGGAACCTTTGGAAGATTTCCTCATGATGGCTATCAGAGAGCTGAGAAACAGGCAAAATGATTCAAAATGAAAAACCAAGAAACAAAAGAAAAATCATGAGGTCAGACTTATGTGCAAATAGTCAAATTTACTTCCTATTACAGCTTCAGCGACATGTTTATCTCACATATGAAAGAAAATCCATATCAGCTTTTTATCAGATTGTTGTTACTCTCAGTATCAGATACGGGAAAATAAATGCGTGATTTTAAGTCCTTCTCTTAATATTTATTTATTTATTCATGTGTTTGCCCTCACTGGCAGCCAGACTTTCTGATTGGCCGAGACAAACGCTGGTCTCTCACCTGAGGGGGTTACATCTGGAGGGCGGAGGCGGAGGTGGAGGGGGAGGGGGAGGAGGAGGGGGTGGCGGTGGCTGTGGAGGAGGGGCGGGAGGCGGCGCGACCCCAGGTGCAGGAGGAGGAGGGTCTGTGCTGGTTGTCATGGCGATTTTTTTCTGGGCCTCCTGGAGCTCGTGAACTGGAGAGGAGAAAACGTGAGCGGTTAAAAATCCTCTCAGCTGCTGGAATGATGATTTTCTTTCATTGAAGCTCCTTCCTAAACTCAGAGAGCAGGATCTGGTCATGTTTTTAACCGTTGTCATTGGTTGCTGGTTTTAGCCCTGACATCATGTGACCCATTTACGAGTATCAGACAGTGTTGTGAGGCTGGAGTCATCCTGTTTCTTTCTGCATCAGCAGAGGAATAAACACAGGAGCCACGAAGCACCGAGACCTGTAACCCTCTTATTTAATCAGCCATCGGGTCAGCTGTTTCCTCCTCACATTATACTACAATAGAAAATCACTAAAAACCGTAAAACATTGACTGTACCATGGATATTTTATTTTTACTTAGTTTTGCTTAATGTGAATTATAAATGTAGATTATTTCTCATTAATCAGTCTGCTGCAGTTCGCTTACTTGCTCCTCGTCTATAGAAGATTCAGGAAAAAGTGCTTGAAAGAGACTCAAAGCTAACATAGAAATTATTGATTACTTTGCTAACTGCATTAGGGACCGAGCAGTTAACCTAACCCTCGGTGGACTCACAGCCGTGTTGACCTGCTGTGAGCTTGAACAGTGATATCATAAAGAGCAGGAATGAGCTGATTAACTCCCAGGATCCTCTCAGCAGGCAGGACTCTCACCCACAGACTGTCCATCTCTTTCAGCAGCATCCACCTGCTTCTCTACACAGACACAGACAAGCTGCCCGGTCCAAAGGAAAGATGGAGGATGAATATAAAAGCCAGTCAGGGAGCAGGTCAGACAAAAACATGAGTTAAACCAGACTTAAACAGTTAATATTTGTATTATTGTCTCTCATATTCAGCTTCAGTGAGTTTGTGACATTTTACTTGAATACAAGAATTATCTGAACCTCATCTCATGGCACCTGCTTCTGTGTTTAAAAGCTGTGGGGTCTTTCTCTGTATGTGAGAGTGTGGGACCTGATCGGTGCCTCAGATTACCATTCAGCCTGCCTGCTGCTGTATGTTATTCCCTTTTCCTATTTTAACTAATTTTTTCATCTATAATGTGGAAAACTTTCATTCCAGAAGATCACAGTGGGCACAATTCAGTAAATACAGCCTCCCTTCACCTCCAGTGTTCTATACTAGGCACACAATGATATTAAAGTTTTAATCAACACATAAGGTCAGCTGACAAAATGAGGAATCTGTGGGTGTGCAGAGTTATCGAGTCCACCCCTGCTAATCCTCTGCATATTCATCAGCACGTCCATTTTATTAGGAACAAAAATGGAAAACAGAAGGTTGAAGCGGTCTGATTCTGGTGCAGCTTGATCTGAGCACTAAAACTGGGTCAATTGACACATGCCACATTGGCTGGAAAAGTATTGGTGCATAAATAACATGTAGCAGCATGAGGCTTCACTGATCCCAGTTTTAACAGGACTCCAGTTTTCATGCAGCTGAAATATTATTCTGTCCTTTGAAAGAAGAGACGCGCCCACAGGTCTGAGAGGAAGTGTTTGTTCTATCTTTAGCTTCATCACGTCTTCCTACAAAAGCAACAATCTACTTCACTGTGTTACACTCAGTTTGTTTAGGCAGACTCTTGCCAGCCAATCACAGATAGTTTTTTTCTGTTGCTATGCTGTGTGTCTCCTGTCTCCTTTTAATGTTAAACTTCTATTTTAATGCTCACCTGAGGACTTGGTGAAGTGCACCTCCTGTATATATTCTCTATGGGACACTCTTAATGTGTGTGCGTCTCCACCTCCACCCACCTTTTTCCTCCAGCTCCTCGTTCTTCTTCAGTGCCTGCTCCAGTCGTCCCTCCGCCTCCTTCTTGTCCACCTCAAGCAGCTCCAGCTGCCTCTGCAGAGCCTCTAGCTGTGTCTTCACACGGTTCTGCTCCAGCTGTTCCTCCAGGTTCTGCACCTACACACAGGCGTAGCACATGATTCAGAACAAGCTACACAGAAGCACCGTTACCAGACTGAAGGCTTTCCAAGCATGCAGCACTGGATGAAAGGCCATCAGACCCATTAAATCACATGACCACCGCATCTCATCAAGGAATAACTAAAAAGTAAAGGACCAGCTTCACCTATTGTTAGATTATAATATTATTTTATGCCATGTTATACTCCTAATTAAAGATTGTGAATTATTATGTAGTTTTAGTTTGCAGTATTCTCCTGAATTAGAAGAAGCTGATAACTATTGCATTCGTTAAACTGATTTGCATTACATTAGACTGCTGATTTATTGTGGATGAATGATATTGTTTTATGATGTTATAAGAAATACTGTTTGCAGAGAGTCATCGCCTTATTTGTCTGATTAGAAGAGAACAGAGCATGCTGGAGTTTTCTGCCCCATCTCAGCAGGAGCAGATAAACGGGGAGCCAAGGTCGTAGCTTAGGCGCCGTGTGAGAGAAAAGCATGTGAATGTTTAGGCTTTTATGATAAGGTGGGAGAACCAGAGGCTATAAGAGTTTGAGCAATGCTCCACCATTTTGAGATCTGAGGCTGTCTGCGTACGGTGTCCATCTCCCACGCGTGTGTTCATTAAAATCATCGTTTGACTTAACCCGGCCGGACCAGTGTTGTTATTGTGGTTTTTCTCTTGTCTCCATCCCCAATATTTTGAACCATAACACTATGATACCTGCAGAATGTCACCAACTGTTGAAGCAAAACTAAAAATCTAATTACCTGAGTTATTATACTACATGTACTCTTGCTTTGGATTACTGAGGGTTTTATTCACCTCCCAGCACAAGTCGGCTGTTTTAAAACTGAACCTTTAACAACCTTCTCCTTCTTCCAGCTGCTCCCTTTAGGGGTCGCCACAGCTTCCTCCATCACACCCTATCCCAACATCCTCCTCTGTCACACCAACCCTCTGCATGTCCTCCTTCAGTATTTATTTTTCCTTCAGTCAACGTCATGATGGGACCGGTGTGAAATATGTTACAAGAAATATGTAGTACTGTAGACTGTGTCATTTCAGACTATGTGCATATTTTCTGTTTATTGGTATATTATTGACTGTCTGATCAACATGCAAACCTGTTAGAAGAATTTAAGTTGTACTATGATTTATTCACTTATGCATTAAGGTTTTATTACTTAGCATGCTTCAGAATGTTCATATATTTCACAGGGACATTAGAAGTAACTCTTAAAGTTTAAACTGCAGATGTCTATTATTAAAAGATACCTCCGTTATGAAGCTTTCGAATGTATTACAATGCTCATATATTTGTGTATCACATGCCATTACATCCTGTCACGTACACACACACACACACAGAGAACACACACACATGCTGATAAATATGCTTGAAAAACAGGAAATGCAACTGTCCCTTTGTATAAATAAATCTGACTGCAAGGCCTCGGGTGTGGATCTCCTTCGAGCTTCCACCCGTGCACGTCTTCATTGTTGAACCTTGAACAACAGTCTGAGTGTCTTTATTCAACCTGTAGAATGTCTTGTTTAATTGAAATAAACCATTGACAAAACCAAAGAAGAGCATTAGCAAAGAGCAAGCTTCAGTGCTAAACCGATTGAACTCATTTAAAAATCAAAACAAAAATTCCAAAATGTCCAGAAAAGCAGAATCTCCAGGAAGCACCGAGGCAGGACTACAGAAGGAACTGAGAACAAATGGAGCCAATGAGGGTGGAGAAGATCAGAAAAGGAACTAGAGACAAAATGCAAAGCCCGGAAGTGAAACCGCAACAAGACACACAAGAAAAATAATATAAAATTTTAATTTAGATATTTAAACTCTTTGAGCACAGCGGAAATATTTCAGCACAGGCACAGCTCTCACTCACCGCTTTGACTGAGAGTATTATTTAACTGCTCTACATGATTTCACAGGTAAACACAACAAAATCACACCTCTGCTATTATCCTTAACCATGCACGATGATCATATTTGCTTGTTTCAGGATATATTCACACAGCTCCAGCAGTAGAAACTCCGCCTTCTTGGCAGTGAAATTAAGGCTGCAGAAGAAGAGTCTTCATATTTTACCTTCTGCTGATGCTGCAGTCGCTCCTCCTCCAGGGTTTTGGTGACAGCAGCAACGTCTTCAAGGGCTTTGAGTAGCTGAACGCTGGGCTCAGCACTCTGCAGCAGCAGCATGCTTTGCCTGTTGGCCTCCTTCTGCTTCACCAGCATCTGCAGAAAACCGAGGACGATAATGAGGATAATGGGAACAAAGGAAGTTTTAGAAAGAGAGAAGGAAATGCCCGTCTGTGAATCTTTACTCTAAACAAACCATCACAGAATCTGCTTTAATCCCACAGACTGTTCACTTTTCAGATCAGTAAAAACCAGATTCAGGACATTTCACCAATATTAACACACACATCAGTTACAAGCACAGAAACACAGTTCACTGTTTATCACTGAAGCTAGCAGCAGCAAAGCTCAGCTTGGATTATCAGAATGAATGACTTTAGAAAACTGTGGGAGTCACAAAGTGCTCTGGACGAAGAGGAGAAACTCTCAAATGCAGATTATGCAAAATATGAAGATTAAGTTCTGCAGCTGTGGTGAGACAGCAGCCGCAGCAGCAAGCATGGCTTTTATGTATTAACGTAGTGAAAGATTAGTCATTGTGTTTGCCAGCTGGAAAACTGGAAGCAGTGTTTGATTCCACCATGAATCATATTTCAAATTTCTGCTCTGCCAAGACAAACAGGAAAAGGCAGATTTCAAGCTGTACAGCCGCATTTCTGTGACTCGCTCTTTACCTCGTGTGCATAAGTTTCAGCTTTGACTCGGAGGCTCTGCTCCAAGTCGAGCTGCTCCTTCATTCCCTCGTACTCCTGAGCTGCCATCATGGAGACTGCAGAGACGGGGGGGGCATGTTTAGAAAGGCACTGATGTTACGCTAAGGGTTTGGAGTTATTAGCATAGCAGCATAAATGTGATGCTGAATGAGGTTACTTGTGCTTTTACTCCAGCTCTCTGCTTTGCATTAAGTTGCTCTTTGCCTGCAGTTTATTTCGACTCACCTCTGTTAAATCTCTTGATGGTTTTGCTTTGCTGCTCGACTGTTTCACGAAGCTGCTTCATCTCGGTCTGATCTTTCTCTGACTGCTCGCAGTGGAAGAGCAAACACACAGAAAACGTCTTAAAAACAGAAACTTTATTTCTCTTTCTATTTTTATTTATGAAATCTTCATGACTATCGAGACACTGACCCACAGTTTAAGCTTGTATGATAAGAGAAAGGTTTGGACTGAAAAAATGTTTCCAGAAACAAACTAATCACGTGACCCATGATGTCACAAACAGTAATGTTTGTGCTGTGCAGTATTCACCTGTGTAATCAGCTCTTCTATCCTTTGCTGCTGGTCATGAATCTGACAGACAAAATTCTTCTTCTCCTCCAACAAGCTGTTCACCGTCTCCCTCAGCTCTGAGCAAACACAGTGAAGTATATTCATTTATTCAGATTAGCAGCTGAATTATGGAGTGTATTGGAAAACTCATCAAGTGCAGTGATTTAAAAATATATTATTAGCAAGAATGAATGAGTAAAAATGAATCCGTGACAAAAACGTTGTTCCAGAACACGTTCCTGCTGTTTGTGGAAGGTGAACCTCATTTGGTGAGCTGTACCTTTAACCTGCTGATGGTACTGCGTGAAGACGTCGGGGCTGCAGTCTCCCGTGTCTGCTGCGTCTGCGTCGGCCTCCAGCGCGATGCAGTCGGAGATGCTGGGGAGCAGCTCGTCCAAACACGGCCGTGACGTCAGACTCGGGTACTTCAGCTTCCTGTTCTCACAGTTCAGCTGCAGGTCAGAGGTTACAGGGGTCGACAGTAAGAGCAGCTCAGTGAGATTAAAGCCCCAGAAATCATAGATCACAAACTACCGGGATCAATCCTGAAGCACACATTTCCTGTTTACTGCATTTAGATTTTAATAGATTTTAATAATAATTTTTGCTCTGGTCTGGATTATTTTCTTTTCATTTACAACATTAGTTGGTCTGACAGGTTACGTTGCTTTTATTTTATGAGTTGAGATGTTTCTAATGCTCTGTGATGATGATTTGTTGTTGTTTTTTTGTCTTTTAGAACTTATTTTTAGTCAATAATAATAATCTGGGCAGGCATCATGTATGTCAGGCGTCACACTGGACAAACGATCAGTTCATTTATTCAGAAACTAAATCGGCAACAGGAGGCGAGAGACAAACAGTTTGTGGAAGAAATGATAGAAAGTGACAGCACTTTAAGGCATTATTAGTACTTTTATCAACATGAAAATCTGTTCCGTACCTTTAAACTGTATAATTGTTCACCATCATCGCTGTACCTGTTCTAAGTATTTTAGACATATTACTACATCATTAATGTAACCACACAGCTGTTGCAGTGGAGGCATTAATGCACACAGATAATGTAGTCAAATCGTCTCTGTGCACAGTCATCCTGACTCACTCCTCCTGATACTGCCAGCTGAGCCCTGATAATTCTAATCTTAGCATTGATTATTGAGCAGCGTATGTGTGTGTGTGTGTGTGTGTGCGTGTTTGCGTGCAACCTTTGTGGCCAGGGCCTCTGCATTCTCCCGACACGACTTCTCGATCTCCAGCTGAGTCTGCAGAACACTCACCTCCTCAATCACCATCTGAGACACTGAAGGAGTACACACACACACACACACACACACACACACACACACACACACACACACACACACACACACACACACACACACACACACACAGAGTGTCAGTTTTGCTTTCATACTCTAAATGTTGAGTAATAACACAGCATAAGTAATGCAAGTACATAAATATGGTTTTATTGTTACTGTTTTACACAATATTCACAGAATGAATTGACTTTGACAGAGATCACCATTTTTTAATGTCTGCAGCCAATACTAAAACATCATTTCAAAAAAAGCATCAAACCTCGAGATTTGTGAATAAAATCAGTGCTCAGCAAATTTTCACTTTAGCTGCAAGCGACTGTTATTTAGACACACACAGATGCAGTTGAAGCTACTCGACCTTTGAACATAATAAAAATCAGGTTTGCAGTACAGATCGTAACCTTTATTGAACCTTAAGCGAACAATGGCATGTCCACAGTGAGTTGCAGGTTTTGACCAATCAGAAAGACAGATATTTAAACATGTAAAGTGAGTCATTGAAAGGTCCTTTGAGTGAGTATCTGTCTCCTTGATGCAGAGAAGAGAAGAAGCATGCAGAGCATCGTGCCGTGTCGTTTTGCTCAGAGAGTATCTGCTAACACAAACAGCTGAAAGAAGCAGGCTTGAGGTTGTTAGACGCTCACAGCTGTCGAACATGTCACCGAGCCTTTGTGACTCCTGGGTTATTTTAAAATGACCCAGATCTGGAGACTTGGTGAAAAAAATGGAGAGTGAGAGGAGAGAAGTAGCTTTGCTATCGTGTCAAAATAAAGCTCAACTCGTCTCACTGTGCTGTCGTCTCTGCTGCATTCTGGGTGTAACTGGTTAGAGAGCTCTGATGATTAATCCCCAGAGTTTACAGTTTGTTACAGACGCTAGGACACATTTCTCAATACTTAGGTCACTTTTGCAAAACTCTTCACACAATCCTCCTAACTGACC